TATTATTACCATCCTAACAGGTGTGAAGCAATAGCTCATTGTGGTTATGATTTGCATTTCCCTGATGACTAGTGATGTTCAGTACCTTAAAACATACCCACTAGTCATTTGTATGTCTTCTTTTAAGAAATATCTATTCAGTTCTTTAACCATTTTTTAATTGGGTTATTGGGGGTTCTTTGTTTTGTTTGTGTGTTTTTTTTCGTATTGCTATTATAAATTTTGGACATTAAACCTTTATCAGATACATGATTTGCAAATATTTTCTTCCTTTCCATAAGTTTTATTTTCATTTTGTTGACTGTCTCCTTTGCTGTGTAGAAGATTTTAAGTTTGATGTAGTCCCAATTGTCTATTTTTGCTTTTTTTGCCTATGTTTTTGCTTTTGTTGTCTACGTTTTTGGTGTCACATCTAAGAAACCATCGTCAAATTCAATTTTTCCTTATGTTTGCTTTCAGGAGTTTTAATGTTTTGAGTCTTATATTTAAGTCTTTAATCCATTTTGAGTCAATTTTTGTGTATGGTATACGATAAGGGTCCAGATTCATTCTTCTGCCTGTGGCTCTCCAATTTTCCAATACCTATACCTATTATGTATTGTTGGCACCCTAGTCAAAGATTCATTAATCATACAGGCTGAAAATGTCTTTATTTCTGGTCTCTCTTCTCTTTCATTGGTCTGTTTGTGTTTATGCTAGTACCATACTATTTTGATTACTGTAGCTGTGTAATATATTTTGAAATCAATAAGTATGATGCCACCAGCTTTGGTCTTCTTGCTCATTTTTCCTTTAGCTACTCAGGGTCTTCAATAGTTCCCTGTGAATTTTAGGGTTCTTTTTCTATACCTGTTAAAAAGTGTCATGTGATTACTGCAATCACCAACTGATAGTTTCCAGTAAATTATGTAGTGGATATTGTTGAACTACGCAGAACCATTAAGTATATATGGAAAAAAATTGTTTAGGATATGATTTGTAGTAACAAAATAAAGAAATGTAGAGTTATGTCTGAGACTAAGCCTTGAATTAATTTGTGCTTTTTAGAAAACAGTCAAAAGATCACCTACATCCTCTACAATATATAGGCTCATTAGTGAATTCCTTCCAAAGTTTAAACTTGTTATTATTATTATAAAATATTTTTGTTAATCTATTTTTAATAATTCTTTTCTACTAAGAAACAGGAGACAAATGGAAAGTAGAAGAGAAACGAGACAACAGATTCTATAGAGCTTTACAGGCAGCAATTTTCCTCTAAACAGGCAAAATACATTTTTTTGGACACACTGATTCTGTTTTATTTGTGATGAATTTTCATTCAGGACACATCAAAGACACTCTCAGAAACTTGCTAATACAGCTAGTAGATTTTTGTAAATGCTCTAGTAGCATCTTGTTTTGCGTGCTGCTCGTCTGTACTTATATCTTGCTTTGAAGAGGTCCTAACTTTTTACGAAGGGTAAAAGAAAACAAACTCATATCCATACCTAGGGTTCAAACACGTGAGAATTTATAAACCTGAAAATATGCTTAAGGGAAGCTTTCTAGATCACCTCTCCCAAAAAGACTGTGATAAAATGGAGAGTTTTGTTTTGTTTTGCTTAGAAACAGACACCATTTGACGAAAATTGATAAACAGTGTCTCCTGAAATAAAATATATTTGCTATCTTTATTTATTAACATATATACTACATCTAACAGAAAATGGAAGTAATCTACACCTTTTCTTTTTTTCTTTTCTCTTTCTTCTTTCTCTTTTCTTTCTTCTTCCTTCCTTCCTTCCTTCCTTCCTTCCTTCCTTCCTTCCTTCCTTCCTTCCTTCCTTTCCCTCCCTCACTTCCTTGTTTCCTTCCATCTTTCCTTCCTTCCTTCCATCCTTCCTTCCTTTATTACTTTTAAGAGCATGCACATGAGCAGAGAAAGGGCAGAGAGAGGGAGAGACAGACTCTTAAGCAGGCTCTAAATTGCCAGCATGACGATGGATGCTGGGGATTGAACTCACAAACTGTGAGATCATGACCTGATCTGAAATCAAGAGTTGGATGCTTAACTGACTGAGGCACCCAGGCGCCCCTAGACCTTTAACAACTTTTGTTTTGACCTTGGAGTAGGTAAATCAAATTCTGTATTTTAGCTTCACCATATACAAAATATTAATAGATAGTTACAATTTTTATCAAAGTAGTCTGAAGTATCCCAGGAAAAAAGACGCTACGTAAAACCACAAACCACATATCATTTATAAATTACTATATTATACAACTATATTACTATGTATACATTATACCATTTTGTTTTTTGTATTTATAGCTATTACAATCTCCTCACTACTTCTACTGAAATTGAGGAATACCTAGAAAGCATAAATAGATTATATACAAGGATAATGGTACAAGATATTGTCCTGAATTATAATAAAAAATAAAAATTTTCATGTAAACTCTCAAATATAACTAACATGTATATTACTGGACCTACTCAGTAAGTATTTTTTGTAACCAGATATAATCACTAGTAACTGAAGTAGAAGCGATGGAAAGCTGATCACTGGTGCAGTTATGTGTTATTCTGTAGTTGCTTAAAATCCTCCCTAGCATCATTAGAGTCCTGGTAATTGAAAGAGGGATCATTTACTGATGCCCAACACCAATGTATCCCCTCACTAAAAGGATGTAATGTTCTTTTAAGTCCCCAGTGCTTGTGTTTAGTGTTCATCTCAGGATGCTACAACACCTTGACAGCTAAAGCCAGGCTGGTTTGTTTCCCCTCAGCTTCCATCTGAAGTATGTCTTGTTTACCTGACTGGACCGCTACTTTCAAAGCCACTCTTATTTTCTAAAGTAGTATTTAGACTCATTTAAAACCATAGGAAGTCACCAGATAAAACATGTTTGGGTGCTATAAATTGTGTAAACCCAATTTTTCAGGCACAAGTTTAAGAAGTGAGAGTGATTGTACAGAATCCATCATGATTCAAGAAACTTTGTTAGCAATATACAGCACATTATAAAAAAAGGTAGCATAAGGATTTTCATATAGTACATGAGTCTAAGAAAACCATTTTGCTGCAAAGCAAAGTGAAAAGATTAATGACAAAATATGTGAAATTGTATACGCTTGTAAGATGCTAATGTCTTTCCCCAAGTTTTCTAAATGTTATTTTATATCTATTACAAAAGCTTTTAGGGGCACCTGGGTGGCTCAGTCAGTTAAGCATCTGACTCTTAATTTCAGCTCAGGTCATGATCTCACAGCTCATGGAGTTGAGTCCTGCATTGAGCTCTGCACTGACAGCATAGAGCCTGCTTAGGATTCTCTCTCCCTCTCTCTCTGCCCCTCCCCTGCTTGTGCTCTCTCTTTTTCTTTCAAAATAGCCAACTATTTTATAAAAGATTTTATAAACAGAACAGATAAATAGAACCTAAAAGCTAAATATAAGGAAGATAAACTGAAAAAATACAATTAGGCAATTACTATTTATCTCACTTCAAATCAATGAGTATGAGATATTTGTGACATACAGACAGAGATATAGGATAATCAGAGGAAAATTTTAATTAATTATTAAAGAAAGAAAAGATGCATCCATAGATTCTGTAAAACTGGTAATATAAATTATCTAACATGAAAATACATAGTCACAGTTAAAGCCCAATTTCCAATAAAAAATTAAAATGTAGATTAACTATTTCACTTGCTAATAAATACATGAGATAACAAAGATAAAAAGAACAGAAAATGTGTAATCTCATTTGATCATGAATTTCAACCTACTAAACTACAAGTAAATAAAAAGATGGTGATTGAAATTTGACCCACTTTTTCTGTAGGAAAAAGCAATCTAAGAAAAAAAGGAGCTAAAATCATACAGAAACAGTAATAGAAGACTCTTTTCAGAAAGGCAAGACCAAAGTTTTATACAAGGCTTTACATATTTAGATAGTTGCACAAAATCTTTAAATCTAGTGCACAAAATGTGGCACCAAAGCCTACCATGAATAATAATATGCTTGTCACCCAAGGGATATTTTGAAAATCACTTTCCTTTGTACTTTGTACCCTTTGTACTGTACCCAAAAGGAACAATCGGTACAGTACAATGCATATACTGTTTAGACTTTACTACCTTAAAACTTAGTTCATTTTTGGTTATTATTTTTTAAAGTGATTTTAAACACTATTTGTATAAAAACAGAAACCAACCCTTTAAACTTATGTTTTAAATTTGAATTCTTATAAACAACTTTTTATTTAAAAATCTTATTCTTTCATTCAGTACATTTACACTGCATACATATACAAACATGCCTCTATACTAGGCAGTGATAGCTTTTTGTATAAAATGTTTTTATTATATATATATATAATATTATTTATTTGATTTTAATTTATAGTTTCTAGTACTGAGTCATTTCAAATTGCTTCATCCACTGCCCACAATTTTAGGCAGACACGAAGAGTCAATTATGAAACCTGCATTTTTTTCCACAGTAATTTTCCTTGTTTTTCAATTTGAGTTAATGTCATCTTGTCCCCACTCAGTTGTTGTGTTAGAATGTGGGCAGTGAATGAAGCAACTTGAAATGACTCAGTACTAAAAAGTATAAATTAAAATAAAGGCTCTTAGCCAATATGAAAATTCCCTTAAACCCAATTATTAGAGTACCAGAAAAGGCCGGGAGAGAGAAGTTTTCAAAACCATAACATTTCAAAAGACAAACTAAAGTGGCATTAAAAACTCAGGACTTTAAAAGAAATACATTAGAAATTATTAAAATTCTACCTGTATCCCTCACAAGACATCTGAAACTTATTTTTCTCATTTAGAAATAGATATTAGACAAATGATATCAGAAAAAAGCAGTGTGTCAAAGGCCATATTTACATTAACGATGTTATCAGACATATACTACACTCAATAAGATTCCCCAACTTAATATTTGTGTCACGAAAGAACACATATAAATGACTAAACATAAGGATTAAGACTTCTTACCCCATATTTACATTGGCGGGATGTTGCTCCATATTGGAAACGGCATTGCTCATCAGCATCATACACCTGACCTGGGGCCACAGCTGGATAAAGAAAGTCACGCTTGGGAGGCTCATTATCAAGGCAAGTACCACGGCCTGAACTGTTCAACATAAAGGATCAAAGGAAATTAGGTACACTATGGACTATTTTCATCACAATTATGAAACCATGTGTTGAACTATTTGTTTTAATAACTTGATGCATGAAAAGCAATACATTCTACCAACAGTCACATGGTAAAATAGAATAACTTTACTGAAATGTGAATAAGAGCTCCAATAGTTCTTTCCAGCACCAAGACACAATAAAAGCATCTCAGACAACAATCTGAAAATGTCATGTTGGCCTCAAAACACTGCTTTAATTTCTAAAGGAATCAAAATAGAATTTCATATTGCTCTAAGCTTCTTGTTTGTTTCCATGAAAATATAACCACATCTGGTAGTAGAATTAAAAACATAAAATGTGGAAAATTAAAAAACAAAACAAAACTATGGTTGTAATTCTTAAAGACCTAATCTATATACTCCTAACTTGGGCAGAACAATAGATGCTGTAGTAAGACATGTCCAAAGGTTCTTGAAATATTTCAATAATAAATGGGTAGAATGACAGAGGAGGCCAAAATCCAAAGTTCTCTCAAGTATATTAGAAGTGTTTAGTCTCTCAAAAATTTCATATTTCATCTAGGGTCATCAGAGTTGGAAAGGAGAATGTTCTCCTCTCTCTGCAATTTCTGCTTTTCAAAGTATGCTTGCACTCAAACATAATATTTTAATTCAGTGGAACAAATAACATAAAGATCGCCAAAACCCAGACAGAATACCTTAGTTTAAAGGACTTTATACTTTGCTAAATATAATTGTTCATTTTTTTCAGTCAGTGTGCATAAAATAGGACAGATGCTTTTTTACTTTCATTTCACATGTGAGTAACTTAGAATTTTTAAAGAATTCCTATGCCAACATTTAAAAATTTTTTCCAACATTCCTGTCAATTGTGCCAGCACTTGTGTTTTTTTTTCCAAATCTTTTCCATCCACTTTGCCAAAGGAAAATAATTTCACAAGTAGAAGTTCCTCAACTATTATTTAGGACAGTACAAATTTTCATTTATAGATAAGTAAGAAAGAGCCATGCATAATAATGAGCTTCATATTCACTTACTATTTTGTCATATTCCTTAAAAAGTAAAGGTTAATTTACTATATAAAAATGTGTATTTGTGCAGCAGGAAATTAATATCTTTTAAAAACGGAACCATATTATTCATTAGTGATAGATTCAAAAACCCAAGGGACAGAACACTGTCCTCTTTACAACCTTTCCTTTTATTTATGCCCCACTTTGTTAATTTTTAATCAATAAAAATATTTAGATGGGATATTAAATGTGATACTAATATAGATGGATTTTATTGTAACAGTTTACTTGTCAGTGTTCAAAGAATTTAACAGAAAACTCTTTTTCACCTGCCTTCCAGTTTTCATGACAAAATGCTTTTACTTCGTGTTTATTTTACTTTTTGAAATTGACATGCAGATCAGTAAGGAAAACTATTTCTAGATAAATTTTTAAAATAGCAAGATTTTTAATGTTATTATGTAAAATATCTTAATATAGAAATGCAAATTTTAGACAAATGCAATTTTATTAGTAAATTCAAAATTTATGTTAAGATTAATGATAAAAGAGGTCAAATGTAAAAAGTCTACTGAATGAAGATGGACTATTTTGATAAAACACAATATTCATGAAACCAATGAATACTAGTTTAATTCCATAATTTTTCTTATAAAATATGTTTCATCTCCATCTACAACAAAATTATAAGTCTTTATGAAAAGATTGAAATATTTAAAAAATCAAGTTATACACTACTATAAATCAATGGGAAAATTTTAAGTACTGAAGTATTTAAGTCCTATAGTTAAAAATATCTGCTGATAGCATAACAAAGAAGGTATAAGATATATTCACCTAAGTAGAATTAACTCAAAAGTCTACTAAAAATTATGATACACAGGGGCACCTAGGTGGCTCAGTTGGTTAAGCATCTGACTTCAACTCAGGCCATGATCTCACAGTTCCTGAGTTCAAGCCCCACAACAGGATCTGTGCTGACAGCTCAGAGTCTGGAGCCTGCTTCAGATTCTGTGTCTCCCTCTCTCTTTGCCCCTCCCCAGCTTGCACTCTGTCTCTTTCTCTCTCAAAAATAAACATTCAAAAAAGGTTTTTTTTTAAATTTATTATACATAATAACTTGTAGGTGTATAAAATTAACCTAAAACCCTACAGGAAATACTATATGGACCTCCCCAAAAGAGTTTAAGAATAGATACCCTGGGGGGTGCCTGGGTGGCTCAGTCAGCTAAGCATCTGACTTTGGCTCAGGTCATGATCTCACGGTCCGTGAGTTCAAACCCCACATCAGGCTCTGTGCTGACAGCTCAGAGCCCAGAGCCTGCTTCCAATTCTGTGTCTCCCTCTCTCTCTCTGCCCTTTCTCCTCTCATGCTTGGTCTCACTCTGTCTCAAAAATAAACACACACACACACACACACACAAGAATATACCCTGGGGATAAAAATTATTTTCTGAAAGTAAACTGAAATTTGGCTTAACCTAGAAGAAAGCAAGAATAATTCTTTCCTTTAATGTTCTTGTTCCCAGGTATTAGTAGTCTTCTAATCATGGTTCATGTTCTTCAAAAAAATACCAAATCACACAATCAATGGAAAGGCCTCCAGACAATAAAGAAGGCATGCATTGTGGTTACCTGTGGACAAAGCCTTCTACCCAAAAGTGGATTTTTATTTCCATTCTTTAGAAGTATTTATTGCTTTTCATTACTATGGTCTAACTAAATATCTAGACATGTCTTATTCTTTGCAGAAGAATAAAATACCACATGAAATAAAATATTTAAAAAATCATATAGATTTTTTAAAAATGAACATACATTTAGGAATATGGCAGCAACAATGGCCTTTTGAAATGGGTTCAGTATAGTACTGTGCCAGCCACTAATATCTTACCTATTTTTGACTCAGGGAAAGCAAGGGTAGGAGTATCTCCAAGATCAACTTAAATTCTTTCTATGTTTTGGGTAGAAAAAATACTACATATTTTCCTAGTAACCATATCTGACATATACAGTAAAATCTGGATTAAAGTATTCGAGGGGGATAGTCTTCATATTTTAATTCTTAATTAGACATGAAGTGATAAAAATAGTTTTTACATAATGTTACTAAAATGTGTCTGCTATTTTCCTGCTACTTTCAAGTAAATTAAGATCACAATTATTTTAATTCACTCTTAGAACATAAAAATTATGGATACTTCCATGCATCTGAGTCATCAATTATCATTCTGAAATATCACAGATGTAAGTATAGCAGATAGAAGATATGGATTTAAGAGATATATTTTTAATCTTACAAGTGTTTTTTTTTCTTCTTAGGAAATTCCCAAGCAATTAATCCTAAACACATTCCTCATATTTTCCACAAAATGTAACTAATATTTTGACTTTTAAAATAATTATTTCCATGCTTATCTTAGTAATTACTTATCTCCCAATTATTACTCTATTTTTGAACTATATAAGAGAAGTCATAGTATAGGTTTTCTTTTGTAACTATTATTTTGCTCAACATTTGAATGTGAAATATATCCATGTTGATGTGTATAGCTGTAGCTTGTTCATCAATATTATTCTTTAATATTCCATTTAAGACTATGTAACAATTACTTATCCATTCTTCTATTAACAAACATTTGCATTATTCTTAATTTCTGAAACTTGCAAAATCTACTGATATGAATATATTTGTACAGGTCTCCTGGTACAAATGTTTTTCCTTTTTCAAAAGTATTAGATGAGTTATTCTCTTATATTTTGTAATTATCTCTATTTAACAAAAGGGAATTATGAATAACTGTTTTAAATCTATGGTTCTAACTAACTGATATAATAATATGATCTCTATGCTAAATCTAGTGCTATTTATGCTTTCATCGAAATAAGAATAGTAGTGATGTTATATATAAATCTGCTTGAATTTTCTTATCAAATAGCACTTTTAAGCGTTTGTGTTTTGGTCATATGCAAATTTCCCACTCAGAAAGCATGAACCTCACTCATCAATAAATGAATGAAGAGCACTTAGTTTCCATCTATGAGATACAATTACAACTTATTATTATTAAGCAGAGATAGCACCTGTCCTGAGCAAAACCATACACATAAAAAGTAGAACTATGATTATTTCCCTACTAGCATCTTTTTCAATGCTAAAAGCCTAGTTAATATCAACAGTATTATATATAATAATAAAGTCTATTTTTGTTTATGTATCTAAGACAAGACAGAAAAAATATGTGTGTTTGAGAGCATGCTTTTTCCCAGATTATGAAATTCTTAGTAAATCAAAATATATTTACATTTCCAGAAATCCTTGCAGCATGATAGCAAAATCATATTTTATGTATTCTACCTCTAATTTAGAGAAGTCTTATTTACATAGTTCAAAAATTAGTCTTGAGATGGGAATATAAGCCAGAGTTGAATGGTCAGCTAAAATTTACAGATCTCTATGTAAAATATGTACCCTTGGCTTTGTTTCCAGAACACATGAGCACATTCTCCTAATTGCAATTTTATATTTATTTTTTACTTAAACAATTATACTATAAACAAGACCTTCAGCTCACAGTGCATCAATCTAAAAAATAAATCATTCTCTATATAACCCTATACACATCTTAACAGTCTTGTAACAACAACAACAAAAAGTTAACATTTAATGCCAACTCCTATTTTCAACACAAAATTGTGCTCATATACCTAAATTAAATGAATCGATTGTATTATCTGTGGTAAGTCAAGTGTCTTATCTACTATGTTATTATAAACTGCTTCATCAATATCCACAAAACTAATAATAACTACCTTCTAAAATGAGTTAGACCTTTCTCTCTTGCCCTCCATATGACTGGGATGCTTGAATATAACTGATTTGAGGCTTTCAACATACAAACACTGTACTGATAATTGATAATGATTTACTCAGTTATACTCTCTTCTCCAGATGTAGCTTCGACTTATCAAAGATATTTAGGGGTTAGAAGAAGTCCCCAAAACGTGCCTGATTAATAGAAAGAGGAGAAACTTGTTTTGCTGTTTCTTGGGCTCCATATAAAAAGAGAGTCCCATCTATGAAATTGTTTTCCACTTAAAGATTATTGATACTGATCTTCCAAAGTAAATGCTACAAGGAAATGTGAGTGTTTGGTCATCCTGTTCATCTTATATCATTTTTCTTGTAGATCTTTCTTTCCCGTTCACCTTCAACCATAATATTGCCTTTCTTTATTCAAGCTTCCATCCTTTCTGTGAAAACGGCTAGTCTGTATTTAATTTGGAACTGTAGGAAATTTTGCTATGGATCTCTGACAGTTCAAACAATTTAACAGACTTTAATTTAAATAGAGCAAGAGTTGATTCACAGAGGCTCCGGAATTTTGGAAAACTATATGAAATTACTCTATACTACCGCTGAGTGGTGGAAAATGTATGAAAAACTGGCCTAAACTACTTCTGGCTGCCTTCCACTGCCTGGTAAATTAGCCCATAGTCATCAGTGAGTGTGAGCCATAATACCAGGTTCATCTTTCTCTATTTTCTAAATAAATAAGTAAATAAGTCCCGCAGGCAGATAGGAAGGACACTACCTGCAAAGCCGTCGTCGAAAACATCAGAAGCTGGCATAACACGTCCATTTTAACGGAAATGGGTTCTTTATTATTTAATCAGGACGGCTTCTGGGCGATTCATGAACCACTTATTGAATCACCGAGTTTAAGAAATCTGAAAAAAAATATTGGGAGTTGGTAAACACCATCTCCTGATTGATCAATAGCACCTAGTGTTTCAGAAAGACACGAGAGACTTGACTTTATTGGCATTTAAAGGCCATGGAATTGTTTTCAGCTGAACATAGTGAATAGTGAATGTCTATAAATCATAGAAAGCTCATTGTTAAAATCCACCATCATCTTGGTCCTATACAGTCACTAAGTAAAGAAAGGTATGCATTTTGTTGGCTGGGCTGCAGTTCCTACACAATTCATCTTTCAAGATTTTTCTTGAGAAGAGAAACTAAAATAAAATGTTATGAGTCTTTTTGAGCCAACTATAAAACATAAATGTAACCTCAATCCCTGATCAAAATATCACTGGATTTTTAAAAATATCACACATAGCTGTTAAAGCAATTAAGCCAACTGCATTAATAAAAAGGAACAAAGAAATTCAAGAAAGTTACTATTATGTCTTTGTGCTCCAGTGAACTGACCTTTTTAAAGGGCCCTGTGTTTAAAAAACCTTTATTACTTGGTCAGATTATAATCAGAGTTGTTTAGTTTATTATTAAAGAGGACAAAAGAGCTAACTTTTCCCAATCTCTACACATTTTCTTTCATATCTATCTTTTAATGATGGCTTTACCTTTGTGAGTATTCCCATGAGGATGCACAACAGAAATATTTTTATAAAATACAGGATAAATAAGCCCTTTGGAACCCTGTCAACACTAATCATGCTTACATACAAAATGCAAAGAGGCAATAAGGCTTAAATAATGCTTTTTGGATTAATTGTTTTAATTAATTCACTGGAACACTTTACTGTACCTAGTAATAATTTTACATCCCTCATCAAATTATTGGTGATTTCTTAACAGTATTTTATTAGTAATTTAGGAATTCCCTTTTGGGAAATTTTTTTAAGAGTCTCTCTTGCAAGAGAGACTGATCAAAACTGATCCTTGTATTAGGTATACAGAGATGGACCTAGCAAATAAACTGTGCAAAATAAACAGGATAGGGGAGAAAGAAAACACAAGATGAGCGAAGCCTTCAAAAATGCACAGGAATATTGAGCATGTTATACAGTTTGTCTTTCTGGTGATAGACACTAAGATTCCATTATAAAAACATGAGCCAAGTCAAAGGAGAAATTCCATATCTGGCTTGATTTCTAGGGAGAGCAGATCTTGAACAATGTTTAAAATTTAGGTAATATGATCTCATTAAAAACATCTTGGAAAATGATAATGCTACTGCTTTGTGTTAAAAACTGCCCAAAGATGTGCAACAAATTCTCTGTGGTCTATCTTTATAGCCTTCAATCCAGTATTGGCACTAAGCAAGCACACTATTATAATTATTTATTACTAAGATTAAAAAATTTTGGATTACAGCATAATTTTCCAGAGGAATTCCATTCTGATATGAATTTCCAATTCCTTTTGTTTCATTATTAAATATTTTTAATTCAAAAAAGCTCATTTTAAACATTTACCTTTTGACCTCTAATTGGTAAAGCACTGTGATAGGTAATTTAAAATCTCTTGTTTGGGGCCTTTAAATACATGTAATTTTAAGTTTTCAGAATGTGATTTTACTGAATAATATTACCTTACATAGCCTTTCTGAATTTTTAAAGTTTTACACCAGAGTCATATAAATGTGAACTTTGAACAAAGACAGTTTTTAAAAAGAATTTCTCTTGTTCATGAGTGTTTTATCTGATTCACTTTTTCAAAGAGTATTTAATCTCTCCTCCCCAAGAAAAAAATGGCACAAAACAGTTGAAGATAATGATAGAGTAACAATGCTTAAAGCCTCGATATTATTTAAAGTAATATTTACCACTTAACAAATGTCTAATGTGCTTCATACACATTATAGCATTGTATGTAACTATATACATATATACACACACATATATATATATATATATATATATATATATATATATATATATATATAAAACAACCTGATGATGCATGTACTATTACCTAACTCATTTAACAAGTGAGGTCACTGAAGATTAGGAAAGGTTAAGTTAACATGCTCATGGTCACACAATTAGAAAGTGAGACCTAAGTCTATGAGTTTACAAAGTCCAATCCTAAAGTCCTATATAGGTGAGATGTGAAAGAATATCTTTCATAAACACAGTTATACCTGAGCTAATTTATATATCTCACATTTAAGTAATCACGTGCTTGGAATATACATTAAAAGATCAGCAAAGAAGTTCTCAAACTGTAGAAAAGATGAGTCACTTAATAAATTTTCAAATTAAATTTTCATTTCTTGGATGTTTGGTTTTTTGTTGTTGTTGTTGTTTGTACTATTAGATACTTTACATTCCTAAAAAAAAAAACCTCAGTGTTTTCAACAACAAAATGAAATATATCATCACTGAATTAAAATTTGGCCTATGCTCTATTAAACTGTGTAAATCTAAATTCTTTCTGACATTGTTTCCCATTGATTGAACATTTCTGACACTCACATCATCAACCCCACTTATATCCTTGCTCCAGTTTCTCTAATCTACGAAGTTCTTTTTTGAGTATGAAGGAAAAAATTTGCCACAGTGATATATTAAAGTATTTTAGGAACAGCCTGAAATATCACACTATAAAAGTTACCCATTATGCAGTTTGAAGCACTACATATTACGCTTCTACCAATGACTTACTTCTGGAGCAATTCATCATCACTCTCCAGAGATTACTTACTCTAGAAAGCTGGTGATATAGTCTCGACTGCAGGCAGACCAGGAAAAAGGATTGGTATTTGCAGTAATGTGAGCTGCCATAAGTTTTGCTGCTTCATGACCTTTCGTCCCACAAGAATTTCCAATTCCATCATGGTTCATACCAAAACTGTTTTAACAAGGAAGAAACATAAGAAACATGAAAGAAAGAAATAAAATAAATAAATAAAATAAACGTACCCCCAATGTATCCTTTATTTCCTTATTTGATCATTTATTAGCCTTACCAACATATACTTTCTATCAAGATACTCTAAGGAAATACGAGATTAAAGTTAAGGAGACCACAGAATACTTCTATGATACAATTTATTTTTATATCTCTTTATTTGATCATATACTTTTGAATGGTAGCTCATATGATACAATCTTTCCTTGAACAGATAGGGAATATATGTTAATTCTCACTTTATAGTTATGAAAAACTGAAGTTTAGTAAAAATAAATGACCTATTAAAGATCATACAGTTAGTCTTAGTAGATACTGCCTTTAAACATCCTAGAATTTATGTTAGTTGAGAAAAGAGAATTCCCATAAATGAAAGTAAATATTAACACTTTGGGCAGTGTAGAGATGCTGAAGGTTTGCGAGTAAGAGCAACTGGGTATTTCAGAAAATCTGGAATTGATTTGTATTTTGGACAGGTCATTATAGTAAGTCTATAGTTCAGACATTGGAGTGAGGAGACAATGGAGGCAGGGAAAACAGATGGAACAAAAAGCAATGGGAAGAGAATAAGACAGAGAAACAATGTAGATCTGAACCAGGGCCCTAGACAGGTGGGATTAGATGCTAGATATGTTTAGGAAGCTGAATGAATTGGTCTTCATAAATACAATATAAAAAAGTTATAATAGAGACATATAATATATGAGAAATGGAGAAGAAACTAGTAATTCATGTAGAGGAACTAACATAAGTAAAGGAAGAGAAACATGTGAGATTGTATATCCAGAGCCCTAAACCATGAATGCCAGTATTAAGTCTTCTTGTTTGACATCAAGACATTGGAATCAGTCTCTTTAAGTGGTTTTCTAGGAATATGATAATATAATCGAATTGGATATTATTCTGTCAAAACAATCAGCTGCAGAGTTACATAATAAGCTCCTTAATGTAAATTCATAATTCAATAAACTTAATATTCTGTACTTCTCTCAAAGGTTGATGCTACCATGTGAATAATACTATTATTCTTTTCAAGTGATGATAGCTTTAAGAAAATTATTTCCTTTTAGCAGCAGCCTTATAAGCATTCCTGAGACATGTTAAGATAGGTATAGGCAGACACAGATGGCTGTAAGAAAATAATTTTTGAGATCTTCAATTTCCTTATGTACTCTTTTCTAAAAAAAAAAAAAAGTCAAACTTCTCCTTTTTAGATCTTACTTCTCCAATCTTATATATATATTAAAAAAAACTTATTCTTCACCCATCTATAATTGTACAATAGTTCATTTCCTTGGCGTATAAAAATGTGTCAAGAAAAGAGACACAAGAAAAGAGATAATCAGAATCATTTGGTGTCAGTGTTGAGAAGAAGAATGACTTTAATGAATGAATAACATATTATGTAGTTTCTTGTTTTCATCACGTTTACAAGAGGATATAATCAAATTAACAGTAGATGGGTTGTTAAAAATTTTTTTTGATGCTAGACCACCATTGGTTATGTTATCACAAATAATACAAAAGGAGTTCCAAAAAGTGAGTGATATTTCTATAATAAACTCCTTTCATCTATTTATGTGAACAAATTTTGTCAGCATACACAACTAAAAAAAATCAGAGTCAAATTGATGCTGAAATTCTGCCTTATTCTAGCAATAGAAAGACAAATGCAGCAACTGAAAAAATATAACTAAGAAACATTTTCCGGAGCGCCTGGGTGGCTTAGTCGGTTAAGCGTCCGACTTTCGCTTAGGTCATGATCTTGCGGTTCGTGGGTTCCGGCCCCGCGTCGGGCTCTGTGCTGACTGCCAGCTCAGAGCCTGGAGCCTGTTTCAGAGTCTGTATCTCCCTCTCTCTCTGCCCCTCCCCTGCTCACGCTGTCTCTCTCTCTCTCCTAAAAATAAATAAAAATATTAAAAAAAAAAAGAAACATTTTCCATAAAATTTTACTTTTAGGTTTAATTATTTATTACAATGTATAATATGTATATGCTTTCTGATCAATAATTGACTAATAATGATTGTAATGTAATGAATCTATAATCGAGAAAAAATTTTCCTTTATTATCACAGGAAATTTTAAAAATGTAATGGCAATTTATACACATTTTGTGATGAAAATATTTGATACAATTAAAATACACTTAAGTACGAAATTATATTTTAAGGTATATTAAGAAATCTTAAAATATACATGAGGATAGTATTCAAGTTGGGAAAGATGAAGCAGATATAGTGAGTTAAAGGAGGGAAAAAAGGATGTAAATTTTGACTATAAAAAAAGAACCTGTTCACATTGTTTTATTAAAAATTTTTTTTAATATTTATTTATTTTTAAAAGAGAGAGAGACAAAGCACGAGCAGGGGAGGGGAAGACAGAGAAAGAGACACAGAATCTGAAGCAGGCTCCAGGCTCTGAGTTGTCAGTACAGAGCCCAATGCAGGGCTCCAGCTCATGATCTGTAAAATCATGACCTGACCTGAAGTCTGACGCTTAACCTTCTGAGCCACCCAGGCACCCCTGTTCACATAGTTTTTAAATGCATAGTGAAAGTTAGCAAAATACGATGTCATTTAGATTCAATTGATATGCCTAAAAGAGGTATATAAATTTTTATTTTTTGCATGCTAAGATTTACAGTATTCCAGAAATTCCATCCTTTGTTATTAAAGATTGAGATGGTGCCATTTGTTGACAACATGTGTGGACCTAGAGGGTATTATGCTAAGTGAAATAAGTCAGACTGAGAAAGACAAAAACCATATGATTTCATTCATGAGTGGAATCTAAAAAAAAAAAAAAAAAAAAAAGAACAGACAAACAAAAGTCAGAATCAGACCTATAAATACAGAGAACAAAATTATGGTTGCCAGATGGGAGGGGACTAGGGATATGGGCAAAATGAGTGAAGAAAGAGTGGGCAATCTAGGCTTCATGTTATGGAATGAATAAATCAGAGGAACAAAAGGCACAGTATAGGGTTATATAGTCATATTGTAATATGTATCGTGTCAGATGGTAGCTATGCTAGTGACAAGCACTGTGTAATGCATAAACTTGTCAAAATACTATGTTGTACACCTGAAACTAATGTAACATTGTATGTCACCTATACTCAAATAAATTCTTCAAAAGCTCATGATTCAGGGGCACCTGGGTGGCTGTGTCAGTTGGGAATCCAACTCTTGGTTTTGCTCAGCTTATGATCTCACAGTTTGTGAGTTCGACTGCTGCATTATGTTCTGTGGGAGACTGGGATTCTCTCTCCCTCCCTCTCTCTGCCACTCTCCCACTCACGCACCATCTCTCTCAAAATAAATTAATAAACTTTTTAAAAAAGCTCATGATTTCAAGTACATGAAGGAGGAAATGTAACAAGTTCTACTAACAATATTTAGTTGTCAGATGCAGATAGTTGTCTTAAGGACTTAAGTTTCAGTTGTCTAAGAGAATGTAAGGTAAAATAGGCATTTACAACTGCTATTGATGACATCAACTTCAAAAGATCCCTCTAAGAAGTTGATTATGCTGGAGTATAACACACACACACACACATACACACTTAAAGATAGGTTCCCTCATGAGGAAAGTCTATCTCAGTGAAGAGTTGGTAAAAGAAGTAAAACTCATTAGTGATCAGAAAGAATAAACAAGAATTGACCTGAAAACCCTCATAATGGCAAAAATTAGAATGTTATCTAGAACTAAGTACTAGCAGAGATATCGAGAAACTGGGACCTCAGTGCACAACAGTTGTACTATGGTCAGGGCAGCTGTTCTGGAGAGCAATTCAGAAGTACTTTGTCAAATTAAATAGGCAGATATATTATGACCCAAGAATTCTAATCTTGGCTATATATCCTAGGAATACTCCCAAAGGGAACATGTATGAGGATGTTAATGACAGAATTATTTATGATAGCAAGTTGTTGAACATAATCTAGGTGTCTGTCACTAGGGAATGGATAAGTAAACATTGGCTGATGCATATTATGGGATACTGAAAAGAAGTTGGAAGCAGCAAGCAAGATAGACATATACACACAAATGTGGGTGGATCTTAAAAACTGAAACACTTAAGAAAAAGATTGATAGCATTATATCATATATATAGGCAAAAATTACATACACACTCTAAAATAACAAAGAAAGGCCAAGGAATTGTTTGAAATTAAAAACTAAAGAAACATAACTAAATCCAATAGAAACTGGACTGGGTAGAGAGAGAAAGAGTTATAAAAGACATAGCTGGGACAACTGATGAAATCTGAATACAGACTGCATATTCAAATAACAGTAGTATATCAATGTTAAAATTTCTACTTTAATAATTATACTGTGGTAATATAAGAGATTATCTTTTCTTCTCAGGAAACAATCTGAAATATTTAGGGATAAGGTACATGTCTACAACTTATTGTCAAACATTTCAGAAAAAAATACATGAACATATACAGAAAGAGAGACATAAAGCAAATGTTACAAAACATTAATTATACTGTTTATGAGTGAAGGGCACACGAGAAATCTTTTTACTATATTAATTTTCTGTAACACAAGAAATCTTTTTACTATATTAATTTTCTGTAACCTTGAAATCATTTCAAAATGTGTATACATTTTATATATGTATACACGTACATATATAAAACAACATGTGACATTTTACAAGGATATATATGGATTCAAATACACATATAAAATTTGTTAGAGTAGTTACAGAAGAAAAGAAACTGGAACGGGAAATGGGATTATAGAAACAAAAACATATATTTACATATATTAAGCATGAAGAGTCCTTGGTGGGAATGATAATGATGCTGTGCTAAAAATTAAGAATACAAAGATAAATGATAGATGGATAGATAGATAGATAGATAGATAGATCAATAAATGTAAAATAAACTCAACTCTCTACTCTTGGGTTTCAAAAATA